ATAAGGACGTCCCAGAAGCATAGAATCTCAGCAGAGCCACAGTATCAGCTCAAGAATTTCCTCATGACTGAGGGTGAACGAGTTTCAGGGCATGTCCATGTCCATGACATCTGATCCAGTGGACTACACAATGCCAAATTGAAAAATGGGGTCTGCGGGACCCCGCAGCTTGAGAAAATTGCGCCGCTGATCTGCGAAGATCAGCGACGGAGATCCTCCCCCTGCTCTTCTCAAGAAGTGGGGTCCAAAATTCTCCGTTTTTTTCATTTTTTGAGAGGCAGCGGGCTCCTGGTGGCTGGGCAATCGCAGGGGTCTGCGCTGGAGTCAACCGGGGGTCTGCCGGGTCGGTCGACTGGCCGGTTCGACCGGCAGACTTCGGCAGACTTCCGGTTGGGGGAGGGCCTTCCGGCCCAACTGGGGACCAGCACTGGTATGTGCGTTATTGCTTTGTTTTTCTTTTGCTTTTTTGTTTTTCACCAAGAGCACCCGACCCTGAAACGACTGGCCTCCTGTGAGAGGTACTACCGGGCGTTCCCCTCCCCCGACCCCGAAAGCTGCGGCGCGTTAACGGCCACGATTTTTGTTTTTAGCTGGGCGAGTTACTGATGGTTTAAGCATGCGTGCGCATGGTCATTTTCGATTTTTTGCTCAACTACACGCACTGGCTTCCCGCTTTGCATGCATGCGCCAGCTTCACTTCTTGTTCGTCCCTCGCCTACGCGCATCTCTTCGCCTTCCTCCCCACCCTCCTGCACCCCTAACCCCTTCATCTTGCGGCCCAGTTGATTGGACACCGGTCGAGTTGGTCAGATCAAGCCGTAAGAGAAAACTGAAGCGTACAGCTTAAAGCCACCTCGATCGTGCGGAATTTTCGATTGTCCCACCCTTCTCGATTGTCTGGAACTTTCCTTTCTTCTGTCTTCCTCATCTACCACCCCGCATTACACGCTGGTGCCCCACCGCCTTCCACACTATAAATTTGCGCAGTCCCTTCCTCTCCTCTTTGATCTCCACTGCAATGCTGTGCGAGCTATGCACGAAGGCTGTGGTGCCGAACAGGCTCGACGTGCCCAAGGACCGGTGGAGTGACAGCGTCAGGTAAGCTCAATGGTAGTTTCGGCGGGTGGTAGACGGAGGATGGAGCGGTGGTGACGGCTGTGCAAGTGGAGTGCCCGCATTGTTGTTGTTTAATCTGAATTGCAGGGATTTTTTTTTTCCTTTTTTTTTTATTATTTTTTTTCCCTTTTTTTCTTTTTTTTTGTGGGAATTCTGCTCTCTCTCCAGTGCTACTTTGTGTGAGTGTTCATGTGTGCCATAGACTAAGTGTATGACTGAGTGGTGTGCATGGTCTTGGTTGCAAGTGCCAAATGGTTGCATGATGCTTTGTTGTCAGAAGGTCTATGTGTGTATGGTGTGAATGTGTATTATTGTGTAATCACATGGATGTTGATGAGCTGTTTTCATTCTCGTTGATTGGATTGGTCTCAGCCATCTATGTGGATGTATGAGTGTGTTGAAGCTCCTTTGGTTTCGACCCAGATGAGGTTCCCTGTGTCGGTGCACAAGTGTGAGCCCGTCACCCTTGCCCCTTTACTGACCCCGTTCCTCTCACGTGCAAGCACGGACTGATGCATCTAGCTAATCGCTTGGTATGAAGAGTCTAGAAACAATTATAGATCTAATTCCTCTAGATTGGGTTCGTATCCTAAAAAAAGGTTAAAACATTCAGGAAAGTGATTGGGTAGGTCTAAGAAATGAACCTAAAATGATTGGAAATGTAATAACCCTCTCCCCAGACTTAAATGCTCTAGTCTCTCTCTTCACTTTAAATGAAGACAATATAGTTGTCCCACATCTGGAAAACAAGGTGATTTGGGTTCCAACAGAACAAATTTATAGAATTAGAGTGTTAAGTAACGACTCCTCATCGTGGTTGGCCTTCAGACCTGATATATATCTCTCTGAATTACCGATTGATCCAGCCAATTGGACATGGGGGGAGCAAAGGAAGCAAGATCGAAACTACACTAGATCCCTACACACACTATCCGTTAAGTCAACCTATCGGATGCTTAAGCCTAGAATCAACCTTAGAGATAGTCTCACAGAGATGGATGCAACACCTGAACCTAAGTAGAGAAGACATAAGTCAGGTTAAATGGTTCAAATTGGTAAGAACAAACTTCAACAAAGCCTGCAAAAATAGCATCTCTTCAATGGCAAATTGAACATCGCTGTCTCCCCACAAATGACTGGTTAATTAACAGATCCTCCCTGGAAAAAGAGGTATAGCTGAACCATGGTGTAAACTCTGTTTATCAACTTTCCCTAGTAGGAAAATCCTGGAAACCATAGAACATACCTTTTTTGCATGCCCAGGTGCAGTCTGGCTATGGAGATGGTGGGATTGTGTCTGGAGCCAACTGGGTACAAAGATACAATGGCCATGGGGCTGGAAAGAACTCTTACTCGAAGTATGGCCTATAGATCAGACAGATGACTTTACTCAAAACCTGTTTATTCTGGGTAGGAGGGCGATCCTCTGGGCCATATTGCGAAGAAGATGCACCAATGAATGGGAAGGTACTAGATTGGATGGTCCTGAGTTTACCGAAGGTATCAGACAACAAATACAAACGGAAATTTTGTACCATTGGGAAATAGTCAAGGAAAAGATTCATTATAACACTTCCAAGAAAGATATAATCAAGACCCTTCAATCATTCAGCAGAGTCTGGCTGGGGGGGGGAAAGGGGGGAAAGATAGGGAAGGTGGTGTGGGCTGGTGAGTCGGGTGAGGAAGGAGAAAGATTAAAAAGGAATTACAAGTTAGTATTTAATTAATGGACTGAGATAGATCCCTTGATTCCCCTCCGCCCAATTGGGGAATTCCCCAATCCCTTCCCACCCCCTCTGAATGCTATCGTCCCATTATCATGGTATGGCCTGGATGAGTAGCAGGGCTAGGACTTTATGTTCATCTGGCGCCCAGGTCTGGCTGAAGAGGTTCAATACTCATTTCCTACCTCCTCAAGATATGTATTTAAAGGGACGCTGGACCCGGTTTCCAGCAGGTGCAGCTCCCCACCAATAGATAGAGTGACAGGTACAGGTTTACTAGTTGGGGGTGCTCTTATCACCTCAACTAGTATTTCCTGTAAAGTCTTAAAAAAAAAACAAAAAACAAAAAAAAAAAGTTTGGTAGGGAGTCGAGTCACATTGCGTGATTTCCTTTGCGCAAACTGTTGTCATTTTTGTGAAGCGATAAATTTGTTTTGGGTTGTTGTCATCGCTGTCTTTTCCCGCGCCGCGATTGAGTGTGGGGGCAGGGACTGAGATAGGAGCAGAAATTGCATGGATTCAAGATTCTCCAATCTGAGTGTAAGTGTAAGTACTTAACCGTGCTCTAACCTTAGATCGATCCGCCACAGAAGCCTCCTGGCATTTCCGATTGCAGACGAAGATGGTGTCTACTGAGACGCGGATGTAAGGAGGACGCTATTGCGGACCGATCAAGTACACCTCTATAACACCCATCTAAGGCGTGCCATATTGGCGGGGAGGGGTTCATTTTTTCAATGCGCCCCAACTGATTATGCCATATTCTGATCTGACTGTGCTCCCCCGGTCGGCAGTGCATGCCACAATCCGCAGTTCAACTGCAGGTGGTGCAAGCTCGGAAACTTGTGTTCCTGGCGACGATTAGTGCTGGGGTACCAAGGGTCCATCCGATTCCCGGATCTCTCCCGCCACGTGGGTGCGCTTCCGACGGGCTTTTGGGTCCTGGTCCCGCCGCAGCATCCCCCGTCGGATTGTGAGGGCTCCGTTAATCCCCGTTCCCTCAGACCCCAAAGTTTCTTTTCCCCAAGTCCCCGCAAAAGAACGGGCTGAATGTAACATAGATTAGGACCTTGATTCATTTCTTTTAGGCTTACCCATCCTGTTCATCAGTGGCTTTTGGTCTTTTACGGCACAACGTGCATTTTAGGTCTGTTTCGTTCTTTTTCGTCTCTTTCTGAATTTTTGTCTGTAGTTCGGCCATCACCCCTGTCAAACTTGTGATTTTCCAAGGTATCCTCGGGACTGAAGCGAGGACCCCCGTTTCATCCTGGTGGTTCAATCCCCTGCCCAAAATCCTCGGCCACGCCCCCATTACTCTGATCGGCGTGCTCACAGGTACGATACACTTCGCGGGGCGCGAGATTAGCGTTTCACAAGCCATGCATCACAGTGCAGCTGAAATACACTGCGGTGTGCAAATCTGTCTTTGTTCCCTGTTTTTCCTTTTTTTAAAACTTAAAAGTTAAAAGTCAAAAGATGTCATTGAACTCCACCTGTCCCTCCTGCCTCCCTGCCTCCCTCCCTCCCCCCCTCCCCCTCCTCCCTCCCCTCATTCCCTCCTTCCCCCTGTCCCTTCCTTCCTCCCTCCCTTCCTCCCTTCCTCCCTCCCTCCCTCCCTTTAGCTGTGGTTTATGCTCTCAAGGTCTTCCAAAGTGTAGATGGATACAGCAGAAGGGCCCCGTTCTAATCTTGACCCACCAGTACCTTTCCCATATATTGGCCGCAGGAAAAAATTGAGTAGTTGGATGAATTTGGGAGCTCCAGTAGTGGCCCGTTCATTCATGCTTGCCGTGGCTTGTTAACCGCCACGACTTTCGGAGGTACTGGTGGTTTAAGAAGAGCAACTTTCAATACCATTGCTAGCAACCAGGGCAAAGGTGGACAGGATGGACTTGAGTCCCCCGAACACGGAGGGGTGGAAGAGAGGAGCTCAAGCTGGAACAGGTTTAATATTTTTTCTTCTTCCCCTAGTTTCTTGGTGGATGTGCACCTTTGATTCCGCAGCTTTTCTTTTGTAATTACTTGCTTACCTCAGATTCTGAAGACCCCAGAAGAAGCATCGCAAATAAAGTTGAAGGGGTTTTGTATGGCCAAGAATGATTGGAAGGGCTTCCTCATATATTCCATACGGCCAATCGGCTCCCTCAAAGTTATATTCACCGGCACGATGATGAAAACACTGATGCACTATGACAGAGGAGTTGAACCACCTTGCACGATCAGCGAGCTTCTTGGGGGTGTACTCTGTGATACTGGCAACCAGGCCTTCAACATTTGGGCAATCAAGATACACATTGACACAAGCAACCTCATGGGCACAGATGTGCTCCATGCAACCATCTAAGCGCTCTATTGACAGCATGTACCAGATAGCACCTACAACCTGTACAAAGAAGACACCCACCACAAACACACCCATTGTCAGACAGAATCTCTCTCTCTCTCTCTCTCTCTCTCTCTCTCTCTCTCTCTCTCTCTCTCTCTCCCTCTC